GCCACCCGATGTCTCCATTGTGTCATCCCACATGGAACGACGTCATCCGAATTCGTGACGATTCAAAAAAAAAAAAATACGTTCGAACGAAGGAAGGAACCAGATGAAGGGAGAGTCTCCGGAGATGAGCGACTTCATGCGTAGGATGATATCATATTGGAGGAATAAAGTGGAAGACGCTATCGCAATCGTACGATCGTTGAATCTGTCGCATTTATGTTTCCATGAAAAGAAACTCTCTTCTTTTTTACACAGAAACTGTATTAAAGTTTGTGAAATATTGTATGCGATTTTTTGATCAATCTTATGCATCATTCATTTCTGCACAAATTTTGTAAGTTTTAGGCAGTTTTCTTTAATGTACAATAACTGTTCAACTTCTTCAGAAGATAAAAAATTCATATAGAATTGTTCTTCTTATATAAACTTAATTTCAAGGATTGTTCCACGTAAGATTTCACATAAAGTGAAGATTTGGTCGAAATTATAACTGAACTTGTCAATGAAACTCATGCAACAATTCATATCAAAGCGAATCGATCGGACGACGTCGAAAGCAATTGAACGGCTTCCTCGAAAAGAGCTTTTCGGAGAAGAACTTGAAGAGAACAGAAACGGTGTTTCGACAATCGAGGGGATGTGGTTCCCGGAGGTTAATTCAAAGTTCTGTCGCGTTAATTCGAGCTTATGACAGCGCCCACGGTAAGCAGGGCGTGATTTGTAAGGCCTCCTTGCATAATGATAGCAGACGGGGAGGACTCGTTTTACGACACGTGCGCGGACACGTGAGCGAGTCGGACTGAGCGCGTTGGACTGTGACACGTCGGTGGCCCTTGGCCCTAGAATCACCACCCCTTGGGAACCCCTCTTCATCGTCCTGTTCTACATATCTCCTCAAATGTCTCTCCGACGGGTAGATACAGATCGATGAATGTATAGCCGGTATTATTGATGGTATAGATAACGTTTATGTCGCAGTTTGTGCTCCCCGTGAAAATATGTAAAGAATTGTTTGAAAAATCTAGATGTGTGAAATAATAATAATAACGTGGACGTAAAATAGTTTCTCGACCAAAAATTTTACCTCGAAATCTGCACACAGACATAGGGAAAAGGAGAGAGAGAGAGAAATAAATCTGGAAAATATATATCAAATATTTATTAAAGTAAAAAAATGTATTAAGATATTATATAATTATATATGCAGTAATTTAAGAAGATCATTCGAATTAAATGTATAACTTAATCTGTCAAACTAATTTATATATTTATGTGACAAATAAGATTTCTCACATATCGTACATAATACATATGAATTAATTTAATACACACCTAAATTATACAACTAAACTGCATTCTTATAAATCACTGCATATATTAAATATAATATTTTTTAATATGTATTTTTTTAATAAATTAATAAATATTCAATATGTATATTTTTCAGATTTCTGCATGCAGATTTCAAGACGGAAGTTCTTATCTGAAAATTATTTTATGCCTCGAACCGTTTGGATATCTTATGTAATTTTAAAATTATATATCATTAAATAAAATTCGATAAATATTAACGTGTTAAATAATGCAAGACAGCTGCATCATTCATTTCTGTAATGATTCAAGTTTCAAAATTATTTTTTCTTTTGCACGCCAGCTAATTAATCACAATATTCTGCGGCAATATTCTGCGAGATTTGATCAGATTTTTATCTTGTTAATACGACAACGGTGCACAAGAATGTCATTCGCTCCAACACTCTCGGTTTCTTACGCCTTCGTATAAACGAAGGTAATAAGGGAATAGGAGGATACACATACGAGGATCGAGGGAGAATGCGACCCCCTGGGGACGGTTTGTCCCTGCAAAACTCCCGCGGGAGCCCGTGGCTTCCCGGGGCACGAAGGCGGGTCGCGCATCTGTCGAATCTCCCGAGATATATCCCGCAGGAGACTCCGACGTCGCAGAACACACATATTACACGGAAGGCCGGCGCCTCCGTCAACGTCGTTACATCGCGCGTTACATCGCGCATATGCGCGCGCGCGTGCGGTGACTATATCCGGCTAAATTACACGCCAAACTCTCGCCGCATGGGCAGCGCGATGGTAAAAAGGGTCATGTCAAATTCTCCGGGGCGAATCAAGCGCTTTTGATCATTTAAATTATTTCACAGATATAATATAGATTTTTTTTATTAAAGAAATGTTTTCCTCGATAATAATTATAAAGAATCGAAATTGATATGTGCTATTCCATTAAACATTTTTTTTTAGTTGCTGTTTTTATTTTTTTTAATTTTTTTCAACATCTATCATATTCAATCTTTAATAAAAAGCTCTCTTTATACAAGTATATTTTATTATAATAATTTAAAGCTTTTGTTTTTTAAAGAAGCTTGAATATGATGGAGATACTAAAAAGAAATCAAATCAAATAAAATTAATGCTCTTTAAAAAAAATTAAAGGAAAAACAAAGTAGTAACATACATAGATTTGATGAAATAATATTTCAATTATAATCTTTTCTTATTATTATAGAGGAAATATTTTTTTAAGAGAAGAAAATTTGTCCGATCAATTCGGATTAATTAAAACAGATAGTTTCAAGTAGTGGATCTTTAACGAAATTCCTGTCAACGCTGCTGTTTTAAACGAAACCTCGTTAGCGCTCATGTGTAGCCGTAAATTGCGACGCGGGACCACCGATTGTGTGCACACACTTAGTAGATGCACTTGCAACAAGCGCCAGGAGTAGGAGCTTGTATATACGCGGTGTGTACGCCAAACACATGGGGATATGTACACGCGGCAGCATCGTTGGCGGTCCCAGAGGGGCCGTGTCGAGGATACGAGGAGGCGAAGGACATTCGTTCGACCCCCGGGGGCGTAGAAACACATCAAAATCGAATTCACCAGATGTCCAGGCCGCGCACCCTCCTCTTTTCCTTTTCTCGGGACAACGACGCCGCTAACGACGTCAGGGCGACGCCGGTCGCAGATGCGTTTACGGCCGGCGATTTGGGAAAGAAAAGGATTCGGCTCGCCACCTGAGCTCGCCTCCTTCATCAAGAACATTTCTCTTACAAGAAAAAAAAAAAGAAACAAAGGTAGAAATAATCGAGAAGTTCATACGATGATAGTCACAATAGTGAGTTATTTAATTATTGACATAATTAATTATTATTTTTATAATTAACTTTGATGCGAGAAGTATATACTCCAGTCAAAGTTACAAGAATTTTAAATATTACTGCAATCGGATGAAATGTTTTTGATATATTTTTTATCCATTTCTTTCCCTTTCTTTTCTCTTTCTTTCTTAAAATTACTTTTTAAATATTATATATTTAAATATGTATATGTATCTAATGTGATTTTAGGAAAGAAAGATTTGAATTAAAATTTGATTACACATTTTGTAATTTTATCGATTCAATATCAAGAAAATTTTTATGCAGATCAAGAGACACGATGTCTCGCGCCAGGTTCAAGTGCAGCGAGACGCACCGTGTATAACAATTACTATAGAAATTATTTGCAAATCAACAAAAAAATAAAAAATGTTTAGATGCGAATAGCATATTTAGCGAAGTTTCAGCGATGGATTTGTAGGCGCAACGTCGGCGTTGTTATTTGTAATTCTGTTACGTCATCATACACGGCGAGTGTGTACCTGCTTTTCGCTTTGAATTTTTCCGCGCACGTCATTCCGGTATTTAGCCGGATTGCCTTTTGAATAAGTCCAACGCGCTTTTTGACGCGCGAAAAAAGCGCTTGTTGCAAACTGGCCGACACGCGGCGTATACATTTAACGTAGCGTAACGTGATGTAACGTAATGTGGCACACTTGATTGGCGGCATATATAAACGCGACAACTGCATACGAAAGCTGCCCAAAGCGTATGCAAAAATATGCAAGAAACCTGTGACATAATTTATTTATAAACTGCGTACCTCGAAAATTGCAAAAAATTGATTTTAGTTGAAAATTATTAAATTATCGCGAGCGTACACAAATTTTTCTGTATCTCTAGATCATCGTGATATTCAAATATATGGTATATATATATATATACAAATTTTGCATAATATCGATTTCGGCTTTTCGAGTAGAAATCGAATTTCACACGTTTGTTACTTCACCATTTCGCTGTGACAACTAATATTTTTTTATCCAGTTGAAAAAATGATTTAATTATAATGCTACTTAGCAGGTGTAACAGACTGTCTTCGACAACTTTCTCGATTCCTCAGCGTATCAAATCCATGGTCAAGTATCGCGTCGCTGCTCGTTAGGATAATGTCACTGAAATCGACAGTAACGACGGCGACAAGTTGAATGACGTCTGTCGACGGCAATAAGTACAGAAATCGAAGACAGCGTGACACGTGCTAATAAAAACGTAAATAGTCACTTACCTCATTAACTTTCGTCGCCAGGGGTGCTCCTGCGGCCGATCGCTATCTATATCCGATGATAGTTTTACACATTTCTCATTAACTTAAAGTGCAGAATTTGTCGCATCAATAGCGTGTTGCAATCTTGATCGATTAACTACGACGAACTACGACGTACTACGACGAACTATGATGAACTACGATGAAAATCACTGCTGCGATGGATTCTACGTATAATAAAAAAGATCGATTTCATTTAATATTGCAAATATTGTTGCCAATTATCAAGAATTTGTAAGGTATTTTTTTAAAGACTAATCACCAATTATTTAACAAAAACAAAAAATTAAAATTAATTTAATCGCTTAATTTTTGACACTTAAATTTGTACGTAATTCAATTTAAATTAATTTTAATTTAATTGCTCGATGAAGTCTTTAGAAAAATGACGATTAAATTAAATAATTGTCATTAAATAATTAATCAAACATGTGTAATTGCTCTACCCTATCTTTCTGACCTATCATTCGCGATATCATTCACCCAGCTGAGGAAAAACGCCACACGGTGAGCAGAAGGAAATGAAATGCACAGCTCCGTGTATACGGAAATACGAGGTGGTTTATTATAATATTTATAATCGTTATGCGTCGCGGCGGCGCATCTCTTTCTCGATCTGCCTTACTCGGTGTATTGTGTGTTGCGTCACGATACACATATATATATATTTTATTTCCGGTGTGGCGTTTAATGAGTAAGTCCAGCGCAAATCGGCTCGCGCGCATTTCAGCAAAGAGAGAGGATAGAAAGTGTTTCTGTGTGGTTTTTTTTTCTCTTGTGTGTGTATTTACATCGATCTCGCCGCCTTAACAGATACAAAAAAAATTACACGTTTCCTATTTATATTTATACTTTACTGATAATATTAGTACAGCGTGTTCCAGTGTATCTGTGTGTACGCGAGTGCGTGTGACACGTGTATGTGTTTGTGTGTGTGTGTATATGTATGTCTAGCGATTCACGTTTTTATCAAGTGTACAACAGCAGATATCTACAGGGTGTTTTCCAAAGTAACGTTGAAAAATAATCAACAGGGAGGGTACAATATTACACGATAGGGACCTTCGAATTTTATACACAATAATAATAATTAATAATAATTAATAATAATAATAATAATAATAATATTAATAATAATAAAAATAGTAACATCGACGTTTTGCGGCGCCGAGATGCGTAATAATAAAGATAATAGCATCGACTGCACAATATAACCGTGAATCAAGGCGCTCGGATAAACGCTTCGCGCGCGCGTGTCCGTATCTTACAGAAAGAGGATTGATAGTCACGATCTCAAATCAATTGCAAGGAAAGACGATAAAAAAAAAATAAAAAAAAAAATAAAAAAAAAACGAAGCGCCGAGCCTTCCGTGTCGCCCTCGCGAAATCGCGTTTCGTCGCCGTCGCCTGCGGGTGTATCTTCGTGCTCTCTCGGCGGCGATTTCGCGATTTCATTCGGTCTTGATTTGAATTCGTTCTTTTTCTTAGGCGTGCGCGCGGGCGGAATTATTATTATTATTATTATAAGGGACACGTTAATTTAAAACTCGTACTACCAGGCCAGCCCTTCGCTCTGCATCTGGTGCGGCTCCAGGAATCCGCCGGCCGCGACTCCGCCGCCGCCGCCGCCGCCGCCGCCTCCTGGACCGCCGCCGCCGTTGCCGCCGCCGCTCGGATTACCCTGCGCACCACCTGGGAACAAGCGAACGCATACGGCGTCGATGCCAATTAAGATTTAAATCATTATCGCAATGCGACGCGACGACTGGGTCAGACCGGCCGGAAGTTCCCGAGAAAGTCCCGGCGAGACAATCCGCCGCCGGCCATTTATAAATATTAATATATACGATCTCCCGGCGATAAAATCGTATTACGTTTAATATTTCCTAACATAAATTCAATGACTTTTCTGACAATATAATTGCCCGGCTTTCTTTTTCGACCTTATTCATTGCGAATTTGCAATATCTCTCGGAGGCAGGGAGAATTTTAAGTATTGGTCAGCCCTGAAATTCGAGTTTCATCATATACCGCGTAACATCTTTTTTTTTTTTTTTAATAGTATATATGGATGTGTCTATATATTATGATATATGTACGTATATACACATCTGTGTGTTAAATATATATTTTACTCGCAATAAAATATTTAATGCCACATTTGTTTGAATGAGAAAAACAAACAGCTATATTTTTTTAACCAAACGACTTTTCAAACTCGAATTTGAGCTCACAGAAGTCGCGTTAAATGCTATAAGTATCTCTATATATACCTTATAAATATCATTAATGCGATTATCGCGGTAAATATATATTTTCTTCAACAATTTAATGATACGCGTAATTTGATACGCTGGTGACAGCGGATAAAAGTACTCGTGAAGATCTGACGCAAGTTAGAAAATGTAGTTTTAAAATTGGATGTATCGCGAAAGGTCACACTGGTGATTGTCAGATCTCAATTATCTGTACGACAGGTTTCGAAGGAAATGACATTCACGCTGCCGCACTTTGTTGCAGAAAATTCTACTTCTAGTTAGAAATCTCTCGGGCGCGCATAATCCTTCGTGCACGAAATAACGTCGCGACTGTGTGAATAATAGCGCGATGCGATATAATAAAAATGATACCGTGTGCGAAAGGTTAACAGCAACGTGTAATTTTCGTTTCAACGTGAAACGTTGAATGGCGTGAAACGGTTTCGAATCGATATCGGGAGACTAAAGCGTTTCTAATTAACGCCACGACACGGCATGTTCGATTTAACAAAGATGTGCATAATAAATCGTCACGAATAATCGTCATAAAACAGTGTTGTGAATTATATCTCTCTTTTCCGGCAATTAATTTGCTCGAAATTACAGAAAATTGAATCGAGAAAAATAACGAACGAGCGTTAACGTGCAAAATTAATTATGCACGGGAACAGCTGATTATGAATATTTCATATTTAATTAAAGAAATGTGTTTTCTTTCGCGCGCAAAAATATTTTCAAAAAGACATTTCAATTTTCTTCAAGTGCCCCGCGAATTAATTGACCGCATCATCGTCCAGCATTACGAAAATAAGACTGATATATCGGTGCAAACATAAAGTTCGCTCGGCGGTCGCGATTCGGTTTTTCGGTGGAAATAGCTTTGCGGCGGGGATGCTCTCTCCCTCTCTTACCTGAAGGTGCCAGGAACTCTCCGGGACTGCCGCCGGTAGGCGCAGGGGGCCCCTGTCCGGGGGGCCCCGTGAGAAATTCCGGAGGGCCGCCTCCCGCGCCCGGAGGTGGATACTCCCCAGCCACCGCCACTGCCGCTGCCATGCCCGCTAAACTGGCCGGGTCCAGGCCTGTCAGAAACAGATTACGTACTGCTCTCAGAGGGGATCGTATCCGCCCGGCCATCTCCGAAACCGGCTGTCATAATTATCGCGGGGGCCTACCTACTTGATTCGGGGTTTATTATAATTACGCGAAATTTTCTGGGACTAGACTCTCGGTTTTCGCCGTTTTTGCTCCGAGTTGATCTTTCGGGGCGGTTTCTCGCGTTTCTTTTTTTTTTTTTTTTTTTTCGTATTATTAAAATAAAATTCAAATAAGATCCTTCAAAATTTTTAATACATATAATATGATATGAAAGTAGGTTTTGAAATCATGATGGGTTTTTTTAATACCGTTCGCAACATCGTTCTCTTAGAGTGTTAAATATTTTCGAAACTCTCGGGAGATTTCCAAGCGCAAAATTTATCCTCGGCTGTTGACAATAATAATGAAAAGCCGAATTGTTCTGTCAGTAGAGCGATCCCCCGTTAATCGGTAGACGTGGGTCGATCTCAGTAACGATCCACTTCCGCAAGTTACGTGTTTGGGTGGGACGTATATTGTTCTTCCGTGATGAAAATATAAAGCGAGGGAAAAGAGACTTACCTGGATTTCCCGTGCCGGCAAAGTGCGGCCCGTGCGGATGCGGAGGCGGATGTGCGCCGAAGAACTCGTGATGGAAGGCCACCGGACCGCCGTAACCGAACTCGAACTTGTCCGGGCCGAAGTACGGAAAACCGGGCGGTGGACCGTCCTCGCCGCCAAGAGCGCCTGGATTTAGATTCAACGGGAAGCCGCGCATCTTACGCGAACCTCCGAAGAAGGGATTTCTGCCCATCGACGTCAGCTGCTTCAGCCTGCGTTCCTTACTTCTCTTGTTCTGGAACCAGACCTAAAACCAGCAAGCGGACAGACCGGCCGCCTTTAATCGCTGAATTATTTAAACGACGGTCCGGTCTCTTCTCTCTTCGCTCGCATCTTTTCATTTTCGCATATTTGTCTTGTAATTATTATGAATCTTACTTAAATTGATATTATATATTTTTTTTATATTTTAATTATTGCTATATTAAACTATAAATATATATATCATTCCCCTTTCGATTATGTATACACACCCAGTATATTTTGAGTCATATTATTTTATTCTTTCCTTTGCATTCTAGGATGCGCAAAAAACATGGCAAACAATTTTTTATCGGCGATAAACTGCAATTTTACCGGCGGCATTGTCGCGAAATTATTTCGCGGTAAATAATATGGCGTCACCATCCTAAGCAAATTATTCTCTGGCAAATGATTTGTCGATGCATTTTTTTCCATGTTATTTGTGATAGCGGATAACATTTTCGAGTGTAGCATCGCTTTTAAAAGCAATTTAGCCGGCCGCACAAAAACATATTTTGCCGATAGCAGAAATCATAATAATTTTATATCAGATATTTTATTTCGTATATTAAAGATCTTAGGAATAATAAAAAAAATTAAGAATCACACAAACAATAGTACAACAGAGTATTCAACAAGCATTACAAAATTTAAGAAAAAAAGTAATTAAATTATATTAAATTATTCTTATTATAAGCATGATGCAATTATTATAATTACTGAATAAAAATGATTTTAATATTTTAAAACTCTACGATTTTTAATTAAAAATTTTTGAAGTCTCTTATTCCCTCTAGAGAATAATAAACTCATTGTCCTATTTTAAATATTTTTGTTTCGATACTGATTCCTTCTAAGAATAAAAAATAAAAATCGTGCACTGCGATGCAATATCTTTTAATAACAAGCATTATAAAATAAATTGAGAAGAGAGAGAGAGGAGTAAATTATTATTCTTATTAATTCTAATAAAATTTTCACATAATTTAAATATCACGAAATTTCGTTGAAAGACGATGGGGAATCATTAAAGATCGGCGACTTTTTTGAAGGCACAAAACATGAACGCGGGAGAGAGAAACTTTCTCTTACCTGTATGACTCTCATGGGCAGACCGGTCTCCTTCGCCAACTGTTCCCTGATGTGCCTGGTAGGCTTCGGGGTCGACGAGAAGGCCGTCTTCAGGATCTCCAATTGTTTCGCCTTTATGGTGGTCCGTGGACCACGTCGCTTCGAGCCGGCGCCGCCGTCGCCGCTGCCACCGCCAGCGCCGCCGTCCGGGCTCTTGTTCTCCGTTTGGCTGTCCCTCGTCTCGGGATCGCCATCCAGGGAACCTTGAACCGATCGAAGCCAAGCTGCCACATCACTATCGCCGTCACCACCACCATATCACCCGAGGCTTACGAGATTCGCCGAATCGCTACAGCTGACAAGCGTCAGTAAAGCCAGCCTCATTGCGAGAAAAGCCTGTATCTGTTCGCTATAGCGAGTTTCGCAGACGCGACTATCGATTTTAAACACACTGGTAATTCTCGAAGAGATGGAGATATGACTTTTCTTTGAGAGATGACTCAGTTCGTTTTATGTTTCCTCTTGCACCCAACTCTTGAACCTAATTGCGAACTAGAATTAATGTAGAAAAATGATGATTTCTTTTCTAGATTATAGTAATATTTTAATTGTAATTTTAATATAGAATACTAAGATTAATTTTTGATGAGAAAATTGGTGCAACTTCATATATGTATGTTTGTCAGAGTACGCGTGCATATATATAAATTTCTATTTTTGCGAAATGATCGTAAGTGAAAATATAAAACCTTGCTATATATTGAAATTTTGAAATCTTTCTAATCCATCATTTTTCCTATATTCTTCGATTCTAGCTTTTTAATAGATGTCAAGCTATTTATATAATTTACACAATTTACAAGGCAATAAAGATGTCGGCGTCTATGGTGGGAAAAAGGTTGACACACAATATTTTCAGCGTTACACCGCACGTTCGTTATACCCGGTCGTCGATAGCGAAGGGATAGTCGGTTTCTTAATCCTAAACTATGCGTATCCGCTGACGCGTGACTCGTCGATAATCCAGAAATAACTTGTCATCCTGAGACACGAGTCATCATTGCATTACGGGAGTTTCTAAGTAACGCCCGTTGAGTTGTGCGATCTCTCGTACAATAACACTAAAGTTATATAAAAAAAAAAATACATTATAGATTGTGAAATTTATAAGCCCACATACGTACGTACCGGGTGTCTTTATTATACGAACGTTAAAAGTTAAAAAAAGGTAATTGCAACGTTTCAATGCTAAAACAAGAATAGCGTTTTGGCATTAAAAGATTTTAAAAAGTAAACGAGAGATGTAATCTTTCTTAATTTTTCCTATCCGAATTTTATACAATTTCTCGATGTATTTAATTTTTATCAACATAAATTAAAAAGAAAATAAAATAAATATCTGGAGAAAAATAATAGAAATTGCAACGAATGATTTTCGTCAAACGCTAAGGGATAATCGATTGATAAATTCGGCCAAGTGATTACAGCCAGAGGCTGAGAGCGCGGTAGGTCTGGGACACCCCGTGTATTCTGGTATCTTCATCGGCCGGATCGAGGTAACAACAATCGAAGCCAATCCCCCGGAAGCGATGCGAAACCCCCATCGGATTATCGTGGCTGCTGCCGCGCACGCTGAAAGCCGTACCCCGCATACGCGTGCACACGCAAACACACATGCATATATAAGTCTCTCGACTCTCCACAATAATCTATACACGCGTATGTATATGTATCGGGTAGGTAGGTCTTAACCGCGGGACAAAGAAAATGTTTGGACAGTGTCACACTGCACAACGAGAGGCCACCCTTCGTGAAGACACCCGCTTCCACCCTCTTCGAGGGTGAACGAGATGCTTGTGTTGCCCGTATAATGTACGAAAACCCACGCGAGGGGGGTTAAAGCCTAGGCGATGTATATAACTGGGACCAATTGTTGTATGCGCGATAAAAGAGCAGGAAGCATATAATGGCTCGACAGCTTTTCTTGCATCGCTTTCGGCGATTCGGGACGTCGCGATGCTGCGAATTCGTACTCGCGAAGATCGTAGGGTGACGTGTAACGCGTTGCATTCGAGGGTGGCTCGATCGAGTAACTAATCGATTGCTCTTGATCGAGTTTCGAGGACTGCGGGGTGAGCGTAGACTTAATTTACTTGCTAATATGTACGTATTGTATATGTGAAGAAATGTCTAAGCAAGATGACAGCTTAAATGTTTTATGCGTACACTGTGCTCTTTATGTTTAGTCATTCGATATTGACTTTTATTTATGATCCTTTGCTATTCTTTTGTGACATTTATCTTTCATACTTTATGATTCGAATAATAAAAATATTTTCTTATTCAAAGACAGCTTGTTGCTGTCTATATTATAAAAAGAACTGTCTCAGCGTTAAAATATCGCGTTTGCATATCGCACACGCAAAAACGTGTAGAAAAATTGAAGACAACTTTTTAAATTATTCAGAAAAAACTTTTTATTATATTTATGAGAAATAAATGTAAAAAATCTGTACATTTTTTTTAAACTTCAAGATTTTACTCAATCATGAAAGATTCAACTTAATACGAGACTACATTTTCTTCACACATACATTACGATATTTGCATAACTACTATATTATGTCAAGAAATAATTCTCAATAAATATTTCCTTACATTTTCTTAGAGTAAAAAAATGCCACGAATTTTTCTGTCCATCTCTTATGTCATCCTAGTTGAATATGATCTTTTGCAAACAAGCCAGAACTTACCTTGATCCTCGGAGTCCTCCTGCTTGCAGGCATCGCTCCCGAGAGGTAGTTCGCCACCGTGGCCGACGGTCTGGTCGCCTGGACCACCCGGGCCAATGTTATGAGGTCCCAGGTGAGTGCCACGAACTGCCGGATCGTGATGATGATGGTGAGCACTGCCGTCCTCGTCCTCATCTTCCGATCCCGAGCCCATGAGCGAGTCTCCGCCTGCCGACAGGTTGGACGGTTCTGCTCGTGAACGACGCGAGACACCGACCTTTTTAATAACATTGACGAACGAATCGCCGATTTTGGAAACAACCGCGATCGATTCTATGTACGCGCGAATTATCGCTCTTCGCTTTTGCACAGAAACGAAACGAAAACTTCGATCGACAAAGTATCTTATACCAAAACAACAATTTCAAAACATATATCTAATTATTATAAATATAATCGAATTTTTTTACGATTTTATTTGATGATCAAAAAGTTATTTCCGTTTCTGTGTAATTGCAACAGTGTTATTCCTCCCAAAATCAGCGATTCCAATTTCAATAAACATGCAAAAATAGAGAGATTAGTCATTGTATAAGTATCATAATGATGTTTAAACGTAAAAACAGCTCAATTCACAGTTTTTAATTAACCCTAAATTATATTTTTTTTCACTTAAAAGAAGATTATGTTTGCCGACGGCGGGGACTCTGTACAATAGATTTAAAGAAGAATCTATTTTTTTCTTTGATATTATTTATACGTAGCATATAATTAAAAATAAACTTTTCTTCTAAAAATAAATAAAAGTCCGTATACAATATTGATGCAATATATTATTACGTACTTTATCAATGAATAATATTTGTTTTTTTTTCTCAAGAGGAAAATGCGTAATCGTTATAATTTTTATTTAGTACTTTAGATTGAATTGATGTATATAATTACGTCAACTGTAAAATATGTCTGCAAACGACAAGCAGTGTTTTCAAGAGTCGGCTACTGGTACCTTCCATTAATAGCGATGTTACGCTCGAAATATTTTCAACGCAGCGCAATATATTTTATGACCGGGAACCGCCGAAAAAATGGCGATAGGTGTCTCTGGATATTAATCGTCCCTACGAACATAATTATCGTACTCTCTCAGAGCTCGCGCCGCCGAGAGAGAGAACGATGGCCACGGATTCGACAACCGACAAATGACCGAGCGGATGGCAGAGATTAATGTTGAAAAAGTGTCGAGCATCAAGACGGTCATGTCGTTTAATCATCGGCCCGAAATCATTCTGAAAGCTCGCGTCAACATTCTGCCCCCAGTTGCGCATCAAATTCGTTCTCCACGCGATAAAGATTTCGAACGGTACTCCACATTTGCCTGCATTGTTCCATCCAGTTATCCATATTCAATATTCAGAGGTGATGGTAAAAATAATTAGCAAAAGAGGATAGAATAGATACGAAATGTATTCGTACCATTTCCGACCGTAACTGAAGCTTAATTTATTTATTTTTTATCTTACCGCTGTGTTTTATTTTTATTTTGTTTCGTACTATGTATTTTCTTCTTTGTGTTATATGTCGGTTCGTTTTATTCCGCATTCTTCTTTGTTACTTCTTTAGCACAGCTAATCCCTTTCCTCGAAGTCTGACCATCGATCTCGTGAAAATATCATGAAATCCTTCCGCAGAGGCGTCTTTTTGAAGTGACACTTGACGCGGCTTACGGATCCGCTCCTGGATCCGCAGGTATGCCTCAGCAGAGAACCCCTATGACGCCAACAATACAAGAAAATCGAGGACGATGACGAACGCTACGCAACGCGAAACTCATCGACGACGAGTCGGCGGGCCAAATCGGCCGCGGCCGAGGCGTAAATCATTTTCGTGGCGCTCTCTCGCGCTCGCGTCGGCTGTCCCACGACATTGTCTCACGTACGGCGAACACAACGCGGCGGCGAGTCGAGGCCCCGAGAAAGAAAAAGGGCCCTCGATCGGGCGAGGAGAGAGAAGAAACGGGTTGTCGGGACATTTTGCGGTTTCGGCGTCGGCAACGGAGCGACAAAAGGTTCGCCCCCTGCCTAACGACCTTTCGGTTTTCGTTTCACGGCTTATATACGAGTGAGGCCCTCGTGAAACCGAGCCGGCCCTCGCCGTCTCTCTCTCTCTCGCTCTTTTTTCGGCCGGTGGTTCACGGTGGCATACGCGCCTGGCTGTTTTCACAGCTTGCCGCTTTCTCTTTCTCTCCCTCTCGGGGTAGAAACCCCCGTGAAAACCTGCCCACTCCCCTCTATATCCACCGATGCACCGATCCTCTTTTTTTTTCAGACTGATCCTGACTCCGTGAAATCTGTGGCGGCGTGCGCGTTGAACTGTGACCCCCTCGACCTCGCTCGAAAAAATAAATCCCGAAATTCTCAACCACTCCGGATCCTTGGCGTTGCTCGTAAGAATGAATAAATTTATATGGGATATTTTTTATGTTAAGCTACTTAATTCGTTTAATTTTTAATACCATAAATAATGAAAAATATTGCATTTTTATAATTTTGATGACTTCGGACAAGTGTCCGAATATTTTCAACACGAATATTATCCTTCTGTTTCAACGGGTATCGAAGCATCGTGTGAGAGCACCGGCGGCGCCTTCCGGTTCTCCGGTGGAACGTCGAAATCGGGACGGGCTGCTTCTCGACTTCTCGATCGGCGAGCGGCGGCTAGCGCGCGATAATTTATGGCGGACCCTCTCTCTCTTTCTCGCGAGCGATGGATAAAATTATTTATCGGCGGCGGGAACGAAAACGACGGAGGTGATCGTAAAACGTGCTCGAGATCGAACGACGCCAGAGAGAGACCCGGGGAGGCGTGCGAGGAGGTGCTGTCGCGATAATACGCCCTTCTCCTCGTTCTCTCTGGACAGGCAACGGCGCCGCGTTCCGGTGACAGCGGCCCGGAGATCGATATAATGGAAGGCGATTGTGCGTTGACTTTGTTTGCGCGCCGAGCGTGTGCTAAATGCGATTTCGCGCGAATTTTCGTGCCGCGATCGATCGGCCGCGTGCCGCTGACAGCCACGTGCCACGTCGAAATCGCGGCGCCGTATTTAGCCCGAGTCTCGTCCGAAAGATCGAAATTTCATTCTTAATCCTTTGGTCTAACGTTGAAAAAAATATTCGTCTCAATTCTTTACATTTTAATCATTCGGTTAGCGGAAGAGATTAAATAAATTTAGCGTAATTGTATCGGAGTAAATTAACTACAGCCTTTACAATTTTTCTTTAGTGTTTATGTATCGTTAATATGTATGATAATATCGTCACCAGATCTGTCCCGATATCGATTGGCAACAATAAAGACAAATGTGGAGATGATGTATGTTTAAGTATATCTATCTCTTCTGTGAACTAATTTGACTTTCACGATTCTATTCGGTATTTCAATTGCAAAGTTAATTATTATTAATATAAAAATTAACAAATATTTCAACATACATATAATTTAATTCGATATAAATTCAAAATTTTACTCGCGTTTTGTCGCAAGATTAAAATATATAATATACCGAAAAGATCAAAACAATTGTGAATCGAGCTGATTTTGATACGCAAGATAATCGGAAAGGGTATCGAAAGAGGGTGGTTTTGTGCGACTCACCGTGATGACCGTGCACGTGATGCGTGTCCGGCAGCGGTTTGCCCGACAGGTAGTCCTGCTTGCAGACAAACTTGTTGTCGTCCAGGACGTAGAGCTCCTCGCCGGTGCTCATCTGCTTCCGACACACTAAGCAGGTGAAGCAATTCAGGTGGAAAACCTTGTCTCTTGCTTTCCTCACGAGGTCCTGCGGGTTTATCCCTTGAAGGCAACCGCCGCACTTGGTACCATATCGCCTAGAACATAATTCAGATTTATCGCTGGTGAGCGATGAAAAGGAGTATAATGAGCGCTTGGGTGACTGCAAAGGTGTGTTTCTCTTGAGAAAAATTGTTTTAAATAAAAATTCCATTAAGAGATACAAATACACGAAAAATATAAAATACAAAAATATAGAGATAATCTCGTAAGCAAGGATACACATATAAAAAAATAAATAATTATGTTGGCAACAATATTACGAATATTAACGACCCTATTGAATTGCAAATTTTAGCACTTGATAGCATTTGATTAATTTGTTAACAAGGATAAAAGCGTGCTTACAAAATTTCATAATACATTAATAGTGAGATCGAAACATCGTTTGTCCGGTATCAGCTGTGAGTTCACATTTCCGATGAAATTTCCATGAAGCAAATTTCAAACTAGCTAGACTATAATCCTATTTAATTTTCCAATTTCTTTGAGAGAGACTTGTCGAAGTTTTAGCAGGACTCCAATGAGATTGTCAGGGAAGGTTGCTATTATAAGTGTAGAAAGTACCATGGGAGGTTAATCATAAGTATACCTGATTTCGTGATTTTTCACATTTTTTTCGCAAAGACGTATTTTATCGCGCGACGTTGTAATTTCGTCGTGGCACGTTAACGCGAACCCTTAATCATTAAACCGCAAGTATCGCCACACACCGTGTTATTATCACACGTACGACGCAAGTTCTCGACAATTTTTCCTGGAGGATGGATGCCACAGATCATATTTCTCAGCTCGATAATAGACTTCCCTCGAAAAATCGGCGAAGCGCGTCCCATCTTAATTTAATCCGCGAAATTTCGAAGCGATACATCAAAGTTGTTCCTCTTTACGGAAAAAATAACCGATGCGCATAACGCATTCGATAAACGTCCTCGACTACCGGAGTTAATATTAGAGCAGTAATACTCATCGAATGTGAAAGTTACAAGTTCTATTTGTGACTCAGTCGGACCGCAAACGCCGATGAAAGAAATACGGCGCTTTTAAAGAGATGGCGGTTTAATGCTCCGATCCGGCATAAAGAGAGTCCGAAGGCCCTACCGTGTCGTAAAAAACGCACCGCGGGTTCGTCCGATCTTTTTTCTTCCTCGTTGAATCGTTAAGCGCCTTGCTTTTTTTCAGACGTCTCGCTGATCTCTCGTTAAACGTTCTTCTATTTCGCCGTTGCGTCACAACGCGAACTTCGTAAAGGAATTACAACCGCAACTTACAAAGGAGCTTTATATATAAGAAGAGAATTATGAAATTATATATTAATAAAGTGAGGAAATTATATTGTGTGTGTGCAAAATTATAAAATTGTAGAATTAAATCGAAAAGATGTGCGATGAAATTAAATAATTTAAAATACTATTGGAAATGCGATTGTAAAATTCTAAAATTATAAAGTTATGTTACGCATAAAGTTATATATAAATTACATAAAATCATTGAATTAAAATTGCGAAATTATAAAATTTTAAAAATTGTAGATAATTAGAGAGTAGTTTGATAAAATGAAATTGATAAAGAAAGAACACGAGTAGCTCTTCCGGGTGGCGCGTGATAGTTCACGAATCAAGCCGGAACAATCGTCAAGCCAATACATCTCTGTAACTGTATCATTACGATGGCAGAAGCTACACTCTTCTAACTGGCAATCCAGATCGATCTAACTATAGCAATCACGCAATTAATTATAGCAATTAGCCAAGGCCCTTAGGGCTGGCGTGTTCCGAAGAACGAACGTCTCAATCGATCCCTTTCCCGACATCATTTCGCCAACAATAAACAAGTTGAACACGGATGGCAGATCGGAGAGATCACGAAATCGGTCGCTTATTAGCAATTCGGTAGGGTGATAGTTATCGACTTGTAGTTTTTGATACTTTATAATCTATGTCGTTAATGATATCAATAAAAACAAATTAAAAGCAACAGAAGATTTGAGTATTTTCACATATAAAAACGTCAAATCTATTATAAATATATATGTAAAAAAAATTTCTTGATTTATTATTTCCACAATTTATTTCTCTCTCTCTTTGTTATATTATATTCTAATATTATATTTATTTATTTTATTAAAAAATAAATTACTTTTCGTAATATTTGATTGAATATTTGTAATTTTTTGTAAATTTTAAGTATATTTCCACAAATAGCTAGATTTCGAAATTACTAATTGCTTTCAATGCATTTTTGCATTTTATCGTTGTGTAAAAATACATTGAAAATAACATTCAAAAATGTTTGTATAAGACTTTTTACCTAATAAATATCTGACACACACAAATTTATTATACCAATTCATACATGAATATTTTTGTATTGCGTCTCGAAATAAAAATTCGATTTTATTTTCAGTAATGCGTCATTATTTGAGTAATGTATTGCTATCGCGCGATCGGCTATAAAAAGTACAGAGCACTCGTAAAGCAATGCAGCACTCGTATGGCAATAGGAAACACACAACGTGTCGGCAAACCGTGATCCGGACGCTGCTTGAGAGTCATTGTTAGCCTAATTGTTCTCGGTGTACCTGATGGTCGTACGCGTAGGCGCGCGTATCGACGTGCATTTTAACGCACAATAAATCCCGCGGAATCTCCCTCTATTGACTGTTTGTCGGACACCGTATCACAAGTCGACCCAATTCGCCGGCGACTTTATTACTCGCGAACGTTGACGGGGAGAATGCAAAAGTGAACGCGACGTCGCCGTCAAGCAAAAATACACGGACGACAATGAAATCTCGCGCGGTTCCATATTTAACCCGGCGATATCGTTTTAATCGATATTAACAAATTCATGAATCGCATGAATTGTTAAATCTCTGTAAACCGCCGTAATTGTTAACCGTTTAACGCACCGTTAATTCTCGGATGTACTGTTCAATTTTCGCCCCCTTTCAATGTTACATACAAAACGTAATTTAAATCAACACAAGAGGGCTTTTTATATTGTACGAATTAATTTGACAAGTATAGAGTATATGATAAAAATTTTAGTAAAATCGTATACGACATTATTGACTTTCCCAAAGGGCGCTGGATGTGACTGATTTACCTTTAATGAAAATTAAATATTTTAGTTAATAGACGGGAAAATGACGCAAACAACGAATTAAAGTGCGGGCTGTACCAATTAATTATTAGAATGTTCCGCGCGAGTGATGATTGTGATAGCTAAAATAAAACGCATTTCATTGCGCGTATATATGTATACATATTTAGTTTTTTTTTTTTATCCTTTCGTGAAAAATGCTCGCGCGAGCCTAATGAGTTTTCTCGTGATTCGTTTTAATATTAATTATTATCGCGCCGCTGCGTCTCGCGCAACCGGTAATTCGACACCATCGCCATTTAACAGATGGATAGATCTCAAGCACGCGTGACGCCATTGATGGATCAATAATTATTCATCACTCTCGTCGCACCCTAAAGAACTAACGCAACGCGCAGCTTCTTTCTAACATACCCGTTTTGCATACCGCGAGAGCGTTTCCCACCGCAGCCTCTACCTTTACCGCCTCTGAAATATTTTACGTCCCGCGGTTGATGTGCATCTCGCGAAAAAGGAGAAAGAGAAAGAGGGGGAGAGAGAGAGAGAGAGAAAGTTGTAGAGATGGAAAACGCGTCGTGTAATCTCAAAGAGGCAGCTCTCTCTTTCTCTTGTCTAGGTGGAGCCCGGTCGCTTGCACACCGTCGGTGAATATCAAAGGTTGTGCTGCACGTGTCTGCAACATTGTATTCGCGTATTGCGCCGCGAATTGCCCACGTCGGGGTTTCATCGTCCATCGCGTGCTCAAGCTCTCCAACTCTCTCCTCGTGGACCAAGATCTCTCGTAAAACTAGACACCTCTCTTCCAAACGCAAATCGAAATTACCTCTCGTAAAAATATACACACACGCGTATGTATTTATGTATGTATTCGTATACAAAGAAATATATGTGAGATGCGAGAAATATATCTCGTTTTGATTAATACTTTAAGCTACTTTAAACGTCAAACGTTGAATTGATATGTCAACCGCAAACAGGAAATGTGTAGACACAAATATTCTTGACATTTTTTTTTGTAAAATGTAGGAAAGAAGTATATCTCAAAAACGTATCTTAAAATTGTAAAGCAAACTGTGAATAACAACACGTGTAAAAAAAAAAAAATAATAAATACGGCGATTGCCGTTATCGGCGCGCGATTTTACAACACAAGTGTCGTACGACTCACATCGTTCTGTAAACAACAACAATATGCAAAGAATCGTTCATTATCATCGCTGTATAATTTTCGCGTCGAACATTTCACGAACCGTATTCTCACTCAAATCGCTACAGTGATCATTCGCCCTTTATTTTAAAGGACAATCCTTTATTTCAAGTAACTGTCCTTTAGATTTATTAATTTTTTCCAAAACTCAATTTTTTTTTTATCCTTTATTTATAAAAATTTTGTCCATTTTTTATTTAACGTTTTAATATCTGATGTAGTATTAACATGAGAGTTTGTACGAAATGGAACCTCTTATCCTGAACCTATTTAAGAAACCAAGAATTTGTTTTAACATAGTCCAATCAGTTTCAAATTGTAAGAATACGTAAACTTCTGATAGTCACAGAATCATTTTTTTTTCGTCGATCTCCACTTTGGTCGCAAAGTGAATTGGAAACATGTTGAAACAAAACTTCAAAATTTTCAGATTTGTCTTTTTCTCTCAGAAAATATAGTCACCGTAGTCATCGCTATACCAAATGATCGATCATCAGTAACGTCATCATACAATAAAAAATGTTTAAAATACTTAAATACCGATACTTCGTAAGAATAGTCAAGAAACTAATGTAAAAAAAAGTAACATCAATCCTCGCGATCTTAAATTCTCCTTTGTTAACTCTAAGAGCGTACAAAAATCTTATCAAAAAATATATATAGAGTTAGAAAAAAATATGTTTTAAGATAAAAGATGCCTCTGATAGATTAGCTCGAGAATCTTTG